TTCAACCAACACACTGCACTGAGTTGGGGACATTAGCTGCTAGTCTCTACAAAAACACATTTTAATGACCAGTCTTATATGTCTGAAATTGTGCAGGCATGCTAGGATACAGAAGGGAACCTGAAAACCTGAATATCACAAGAAGAATTTTATTAAGTTACCACAAGCTGAGTTTAGAAATGACACACAATATTTAGTTGACACAGTTAGCAACAATATGTCACCTAACCCATTAAAATAATGTTTGCAACTTGAAAGAAAAAAATGATATTACCATACGTAGAAGGTCTTTCTTGGTCCATTGGTATTCATTATAGACTTTCATACTCTGTTAAATACATTTTCTGATAAGTTGATGTATTTTTGGTTCCAAATGCATGACACACGTCCTTCTTTTTATATTTAGAAAAAAATCTTCAAAAATTTAAAAAAACAATACCTGTCACCTAAACCAAATGGCCCGGGGTCCAAAAGACCCCAAAACTCCTGAATAGGGTTAATTAAGTTGTCAGAATCAGACCCTTGAATTATTGTTATTATTATTATTATTTTCTCTTTTTTCTTACATTGATGTGGCATCACTGTAAAGAGCCATTTTGAGTTTCATTTGGCACCTTTAATCTTCTGAGTGTAGAGACAGCTAGTGAAATCTAGGTATATTGCATAGGCATAAATTCTTTATTTCTATAGGAGACACTCTCCTTTAAAACAATTGTCTGAGGGCTGCATTGTGTTGCTGGTGGTTGTTTCTATTGAGTCTGTTGTCTGCACACTGTCTTCACTGTACCAAACCCTGGAGAGCTTTTGTTCTGTTTGTTACAGTCTGATCACACACACACACACACACACACACACACACACACACACTCCTGGCTGTGTCATAATGGACTAATTGTTTCTTTTCTCGACCAGCAGATGAATATCAGCACGTGGCCGCCACGTCACTCGTGTCTCAGCACCCTGGACAGCAGCCACAGTCAGTCAGCTCACCGCCCACAACGATGGAGCTCATCTCTGCTCAGCTTCACCCACCGATCGGGCTGCCTTCGTGCAAAACTGTGGCTCGTACATACAAAGAAGTTTGTGTTTTGTAGCCGGCGAACCATTCTAGAGGAGGAGGGGGGGAAACAATAAGGCTCCAGCATCCTGCAGGATTATGAGGACGGAGACGAACCGATCCAGGCGCGTCTCTCCAAGCTGCCATGTGAAGTGGCACTTTATTGTCCCGCTGATTCCCGGAGGCCTTGATGTGATTCGGTGAAGATGATGATGATGATGATGATGATGATGAAGTGCAGTTGTTTTTAGCAGTCTACTGTCGGCTCTGTTTTTTTTTTGTTTTTTTTTAGTGTGTTCGCAGGAATCCATATCTGGCATCCTCTCGCTCCTCCTGATTTGTGGCGCAGAGTTGGATGGAAACAGAAGTGGCATTACAAGTTGTCGTGAGATGGATCTTTATTGTCGGTCTGATGTGATGTTTAAGATCCGACATGGCTGGATTGTAACTTTGCTGCTTTAGTTGAGGGTAAAGGTGTGGGACGAAGCTTGCTCGATCTACCAGAGAAATAATAATAATAATAATAATAATAATAATAATAATAATAATAATAATAATAATAATAAAAGGCTACAGCGAAGATGAAGAGGAAACAGTGAAGTGATGGATTCCACTGCGAGACAACAAAGGATACACGCTTGTCACCTCGTGTAATTTCACCTCCCCTGTAGGTAGGCTCAATGAGAAACTCGAATTTAAATCGGATTGGACTTAGTTGTTAATAGGATTTGATACCAACCCCCCCACAGACACACTGGCTGTGTTGTTGTTTTTTTTTAAGCGCGGCTGAAAACATTTAGTTTGACATCTGCTCAATTAAAAACCTGCAAACACTCTACAAACTGGAAATGATGGAGAGGATGCTGCTGCTGGACCACTCAGTGTTGGGAGTCTCGGAGTTCGTGGCTCTCAGCCTCCATTGAATCCTGAAAGAAAACGCCTCTATCCATGAAAAATAATCCTTCCCCATTGGCTGGATGGCGGTGCACATGCTATAACAACAGGATATGCAAAGAGCTATGGGCTGATCTAATAGCCTATCATGTTTTTCGCGTGCTTTCTCGAAGGAGATCTGTGTTTTATTCAGTAGGAAGTGAGCTGTCTGTTTGAATCACATGCCCACATCATAATAATAATAATAGTAATGACAATAATGATGATAATGATGTGATGGACCTGCCACAGTCACGCTGAAGGCTGCTTGCTTTCACAGAGCAGTTGATGCCTGTGTAGTAACAAAAAAACAAAAGAAGAAAAGCTGCTGAAGAATGTTCAAGTATCGGATCCGCATGTTTTTCAATGAACTCAAAGTGTTGCTACTGATGCGCTCCGGATCCAGCAGGAGGACCGACACCGGCACAGACCCGGACACGCAGCCCAGGATGAGGGGGCTGGCTATCGGAGGCTGCGGTTGGCCTCAGCTGAGCTGCTCTCACCGGGACGACGAGGAGGAATATTACGGCTCTGACCCGCGGCCCCGCAGCCTGGCGTTTGAGGAGAAGGATGGAGCCAAACCGCAGGGAGGAGGAGGAGAAGCAGGAGGAGCAGGAGGAGGCCTGGACGCTGCGTCCCTGCCGAGTCTCTCCGAGAGCGGGATGCGATCACCGCAGTGCCGGATCTGCTTCCAGGGACCAGAGAAGGTAAAGTTGGGAAATAAAGATGTTGGTGTGTTAAGGAAGGACACATCACCCAAAAAAAGTGATTCAAGGGACCTCTTCCCACCACTTAAATAAATGCATTGTTGCAGGATAAAAAGAAATCTAATTCATTCAACTTAATATTATGTGTCATTTAAACTCACATGTCTTCATTTAAAACTAAATCCTAGTTGAGGTAACTTCATGGAATTGGCTTGATGACTACATTTTTGTTCACCTTGAGGTCTGGATTTCACATCCCTATTGGAGCAACTTGTTTGTTTATTTGTTTTACATTTGCTAACTTGAAAAGGGGGCTTTATAAAAGTAGTTAAGGACATAAAAATCAATTTAAATACCATTGAAATACTACTACTATACTCGGAACATCATCATTTTGTGAGTAAACTTGCATTTATGCTGCCAATCAGAAAGTGGTCAGACTAATTCTCTTAACATAATGTGTTGGTTGAACATACTTTCATTAGAAGTTGTACTAACTCAAAAAGAGTGAAGCAAACTGCAATTTAATAATATTTTTAAAGTGTAATTACTGTGGAGCCTGAATCTGTGACTTGCTAATGGGCACTGCAGCAGGACAGGTGGCTCATGGAGCCTCAGACCACGTGGCGCTCATGTCTTTCAGCAAGTCGCCCTGCCAAGTTCACAATTCCGCTAATGAATGGCGTCATCAGAATGAAAGACTTGAGATAAACAGCAGGCGACACACTCAGAACCCCACAAGACATCCAAAACCAAATGTCCTTTAAGAAACTGACTCATTTAGGAATATTTTGTGCAGCATTTTGTCTGTAAATAAAGCCTGTGAGGCCAAACCTGAAGAGTTTGCCACCAGCTGATCTGCTTCCAGTTTCAGTCTGAATGTGGGCTCCAGCAGTTCAGTTTGCACTTGAGTGATTTTTTTGAGAGAAACAGGTTAAAGAGCAGTGAAATCTGAAGCAGTGGAGGCTCATACCGTTGGATAAAAACATTTCAGATAGGCCAGTGAATCTTCAGATCCTCCACAGGATAAAAATTTTTAGAAAAAAAAAAATCCCATAGTTTGAAAATAAAGCAAGACACAAAGACAGTCAGGTGCAAGTCAGAGGGTTACTGTAAACAGCTGAACACAGAAACTGAATCCTGAAAACCTCACTTTATATTCCCTGTTTCTTAAGTAGCATCTCTTTCTGTCCAGTTTTTCATTGATCTGAAATTCTGCACATCATGATCTTCGAGGTTAACAGTGATCCAGTTTATCTACTTGAAACATCATGGTGACAAAAAGCTGGTTTGTTCATAAAATAAAATAGGCCTTCTTAGGGCTTTAATACTCGATCATCACGCATATTTGCTGCCTGACTGTCATAAACTCACAAACAATCATCCATGCATGAGGACTGCACTTCTCACATGTATTTCTTCAGCCCCTCCTACTGCCAACATGCAATCTGCTAACCAGCTGTCTAAAAATACACCCCGATATCCAGACTTTTACTTCCAGGAATGGGTCAAGCTCCAGAACGTTGCACATTTCCTACAATGCAACTGAGTTAGTTTGAGCTCAGATTTGAACATGCAACGTTAGCAGTGGTGAACGTCGCCTGGAGCCGCTGTGCCCCAAAGCAGAGATGGAGTGGGCTGCAGGGAAGCCAAAGTCGCATCACTTGACTTAACTTGAGTCACTCCAGTGACTTCACACGGCTCCCTCTGGGGCTGTGAGTCTTTTTAACAACTTTTTTACACGCCGTGTCACAGTTCTCCTCGAGACCTGTAAACACACTTTGATGTGTAAAATCGGTGAAGGCCCCTTTAAGCAAACACACGATGAAGATATTAGTTATTATACATCAGTATCAAGCTGGTGTGACTATGCGTGGAATGCAGAAAGTCTCCTCTGATGCAAAGTGAAAATCCAGAGAGACGAAGACTTTAAAAAAAAAAGAGAATTAATCCATCAACCATGTTCTGAAAATAGCAGTAGGCAGACAAAGGGCATAAGTTAAGAATAGGCTGGAGGGAAGCAGGAGGAGCTTTATATTTACTATGCGACCCAGTGAAGTCCTCGCAGTAATAGATTCAGTGTCTGATGCTCAAATTTAGACTGTTTTTTAAAAAAGCGATGAAGAAAGGTTTCAGAGAATGATTCCTCGACATATAAGAAATGTCTAAGAGCTGCTTATTTCTGCTCATTATTATTCAGAGGGATTTAAGTGCGGGAGGCAGTGTCCAATAACTTTGCTCAAGGACTCTTCAGTAAAATCCAGTAATGTGGGGGGGGGATGAAGCCGAGGGGTTTTTCTAGTCTCAAGCAGGAGAACAAAAAGTAAAGCAAAAAATGGTTTTGAATGTCTGTGTCATCCTTGTCCGAGGTCTGAGAATTAAATCAACCTTGAAAAGACAGACTTCGCTGGAGGTCTCAGAAAGTTTTTGCTTTCCTCCCTCTCCAGATATCCAACTAATTAAAGACCTAACACATCACCTAAAGTCAGACAGAAAATAAAGCGAGATGAGCAAGAGTGTTGTCAGTCCGACGGCCTCAGGGAGTCTCATACTGACAACAAAAACCTGCACCAGATGTCCCGTGATTTCTTTTGAGGCTACAGAAAGCTGACGTGAGAGGAGGAAACAGTCCTCAGATGAAGGTGTTAAGCAGCAGATAGTCACATTAACTAGGAATATCACATACTGTCACTTTTATTATAAATGCATGCTTTGAGTGTCTGCAGCTGAGGATGTAAAGGCAGACACGTCCTTTGATTGGTTGCGCCGCCGAGAGAAGTAGATGACATCCACGGGAAAGATCAGCCAGTCATATTCTCCTTTCAAGTCGGCACACAGCTCATCTCACATGTGGCTGGAAATATCTCTGTAATAATGAGATGCACTCGCTTTTATACGTTAATTATCTGTAATTAAATGGGCATCAACTGCCAAAAAGCTTTTCTCAGGAAGTCTGCAAGTGTGTCAAGTTGGGAGCTGATCATTGCCGCAAAACTCTCATCCCAAATATTCATCTGGACTCAGGCAAGCCAGTGCAGTTCTGCTATCATGCTTGTGGAGCAATTTATACGGGTGAAAAATGTCTTTATTGCTGTCCTGAAGGAACAGAACTGACTGGCTGCTATGGCCTGGCATTCAAATGTACTGTTGTGGGGAACGTCCACAAAAAAGCAAATTAATTCCCAAAAAAGGTCAAAGCACGCAACACTTTGTTATGGTAGAAAAGCTGAAAGCCTTCATTGTAGCGGCTGCGTGATAAAGAAACTGTCACATACAAAAGGAACTTAATTGTGTGTTAGTCATTAGTGACAACTTTCACATGTGTAGCTCCTTGATCACAACTGCGTTCAATAAATTAACAAGATGTCACAGATAAAGAAAATGTTTGTAACAGCTGTTAACAAAGAAATGATGCATGTGACAGATATTGGTAAAGAAACGATAGACAATATCAGAAAATAATAATGTACATAGCTAATACTGGAATGACACCACAGCCCCCTAAGAACAACAAATAACCAGAATAGAAAATGAATAAATGAGAGAAACAAAGATGTACATCAGCTATCAAAATGCATTCAAGCTATAAAGGTGAAAAACTAAAGGCTGTCCTTAAAGGCTGGTCGGCAGTCCAAAGAGAAACTGAGGCACTCTGATTTTAAATAGAAAAATCTTTTATTAATACATGAAAAGCCGGCGCATTTCAACTTCATCAGGGTGTGGAGTGCAATGGGAGCAGGTGCTGCATTTAAAATTCATTAAGCAGTCATGTGACACGAGTCACCTGATATGTGAATTAGGACACTTGAGAAAGTCACATCCAGGACTCGACAAAATGCAAGTATGAACATTTATGAAAGAAAAACTGTCATATTTCACTCTGATGTCTTTTAAATCTGTGCATTGTCATTATTTTGTGCATTTAAATGACTGTATAACAAGTTATTTTTCTACCTATAGAGAAACTTGTGTAATATCATTGTATTCTTTGCAATGTCAGTAGTTTAATATCATAGAAGAACGTGTTCAATACCAATGTTTTTCTACATGTATCTACATATATAACGATCTGTACAATATCAACACTTTATATATATATTTCTTGCTTAGTTTTTAGTTCATTCTGATGTCTCTACATTTCTGCACTTTATATAATCTTTGCTGCTGTAACATTTCAGATTTCCCCACTGTGGGATTAAGAAAGGCTTATCTTATCTCTTAATATCTTACTATAATAACTTCACCCTCAAAAACCCAAAACAGCAAAACAATCAAATCAGACAACTAAAAATAACCCATCAAATCAACAACTGTAGTGCTTCTCTCAAGCAGGAGTCACTGTTCATAATATCCACAACCCATAAATATACACAGGAATAAAATCATCACAAGAATCATAGAACAGTTAAATATTTCCCCATGAAACATACTGTGATGACGTTCTAGCGTAGAACTGTAATGTGGTGTGCTGAGCAGTGTGGATTTAACAAACTTGATTGATTTCCTCATTTATTAAAAGCACGTTTTCCAGGAAATGTGATTATTTCACCACTAAAATAAAGTGACAGAGCTTCAGCAGTACATCAGCTGGCACAAAGAAACTGTTTAAAAAGCTAAATAATGTTCAAAGTAGCACGAAGTGACAATGAAGCCGGCTGAGGTAGAAAGATTTCAGCGTTAGAAAGAAGCTGTCAGACAGAAGACGAGGAGTCAGCTAAATCTACGATGGTTCTGAAAAGAGTTCCAGGATCCTTTTTCACCACTGAGACACTCAGCACTGTGAGCGTAATGCATATTTATGAAAGAGTGATTCATTTTTGTTCAGAAGTTCCTTATTAGTGAACCAAGTGGTTGTATGAGGGAGAGAGAGTTTAATTTTAAGATTTAATTTGATCACATAATTGTCACTTCAATCTAACATCTCAGTCTTTAGGAAACTGTCACCACAGTTTCTCTTGTAAACCATGAATTGGTAGCATGACATGAGTTAGATTTAAACTGTAATAACATCAAATGCAGTTCACTATCACGTGATAAAACTGTTGTAAAATATTTTCATTTGTAATAGACCTGTCAGTATTTGCAGTTCGACATTATTTGTTTGTGTTTTTATTAAATATCCCTCTCTCTCTAAATATGACAAATATACCTGCTCAACACTGGAGACAGGATTGCATATGAACTGTTAATAAATCAAACTAATGTCATATTAATTGATTATATGTGTTGGCACTTGCTCTGAGCTGTTGTATCTCTTTATATCCATGACAATAGCCTGAAACAATGCCTTCAGTAGATTAAATGTGATAGTAACACTGCTGGGATTTCAAAGTTTTCAATAAGCATCTTTATTTTTGCTGTCATCTTTGCCATTTAAGTCTCAGTTCAGAGACAGTTTCGACGCTGTGAATGTGTCTCATGCAGCTCTGTGTCGTGTTCTGCAGGGGGAGCTGTTGAGCCCTTGTCGCTGTGATGGCTCTGTCCGCTGCACTCACCAGTCCTGCCTTATACGCTGGATCAGCGAGAGAGGCTCCTGGAGCTGTGAGCTGTGCTACTTCAAGTACCAGGTCCTGGCCATTAGCACCAAAAACCCTCTGCAGGTACAGTCAGTGTGCTTGTTGTGGCTCTCTCTGTCTTCAGTGTCCGCTGTGGAAAACTGGAGCTGCATGAAAAAGGTCCTTGACTTTAGAAGGCTTTTTGGTACAAAGCACAAACGTTACTTTACCTGGTTTGAGTGGCTGATTGGCAGAAAGGTGTAACTACCACATTCAGGGTCATCAATTGGCATGCGGCTTTTACATTACCACCAGTAGCAGCAACAGTGCAAAGTAAGTCAGTACATTTACTCAAGTGCTGTACTTAAGTACATTTTTCAAGTACTTCTACTTCATGTATTTGGATTTTATGCTGCTTTATATTTCCACTCCATGAAGCTTCAGAGGGAAATCTTGCACTTCCTGTTCCACCATGTTTATTTGACAGCTTTAAGTTCTGCATAAAGTGAGGATTTTACACACTAGATTACATAACAAGCTGCTAAAATACAACACATTGTAGCAGATTAAACCCTTGGTGTTGCATTTCGGATGTTTATTAGTTGCAAACAGCTCCACTGAACAGGGATTTTTCTCCTCTAAACTTCTCACATGGTTTAATTTCAATAAATGTTCAGATGATCCAACATCTTACCAAATCACAAAGATGAGAGAAAAAGTTAAACAACTTGAAAAAAGATTTGTGCATCAGGAGTTTGTCTTTTCTTCTTTTCTCTCTCATTAGTCACCTGTGAAGGCCTCAGATTTATTTGCTGCCCCTGTGTATTAAACTGGATGTGAAGAAGTTTAAACATGTCGCCTACAGTGTAATTTCATAACAATGACCAAGACCGGCCCTTTTGCTTTAATACTCACACATGTACTTTGACACAAGTAGGAGTTTTTCTAAATGGAGAGCTTTTACATTTATGTATTGGTATTGGAAGGATCTGAATACATTTTCCACAACACTGACCACCACAGACACGTTTTAGACTGACTTTATCCAACGCTCGCTGATTCCCAACAGAAAGCACCACATTGCTGTCCACAGAGCTATTTATACAGTTTTTTATGAACAAACGCAAAAGAAGAAGAAAGCCATGAGGACTTACTGGAAGATGCCAGGAACACATTTATGAGACAGTGCACATTTCAAAGACTTGGCACAAGTGTGTGGCAGGGACAGGGACGGTAGACGAACAGACGGTATCGCCAAATGATTCCACTCTCTGAGTGCTGGAAAGCAGATCTTATCAGACACAGTGCACCTTCAGATGCCCTTCTGTCTGACTGATGCTGTCATTTACCGCTGCAGCATCAGTCAGCAGACGTCCTCATGGAGAGTAAAACATGTCATGTACCATTTTTCAAAAGCTGTAATTAATGTAAGAACTGTTTTACCGTATGTGAAGATAAAAAATACTTTTTGGATTCTACAGTTTACATGAATATACTGTACGTTTATATTATTACTAGTGTTCTATACTGACCAGCAGAGGCTCACTGAGGTTCATTCAGAGTCGTTTTCAAGTTTCTCGTCTTGACATGTGAACAGTTAAACTGAAATTTACACTGTACAAAAATCAGTGTTTTTTTTCCCCACGTTTTTGAAATGCACAAAAATCAAATTAAATTAACAAAAATAAAATGGGAATTTATATTTCTAGTGTAAATATACAAGGTTTTTATACAATGTTGCGTTAAAAAAAACTAAAATTAACTGTTTTTTATTCATTTTTATTATTAATATTATATAGCTATTACTCATAATAATAATTACATTCATATGCACGAATTTAATAATTGTGGTTTTACTTTTTTTGAAAGGTGAATCTGGTAGTTTTATAAGTGAGCATACTTTTCTAACAGATTTCTGTGTGAAGTTAATGGTACAAACTCTTTAAACTCTATTTGATGTAAGGGTAACTGCATATTCTTGCAAAGTGAGACTAAATTACTCACTAAACAACATTTTCTTAACATTTCTTTTTAGATAACAATAAATAATAGAACTCAAGTAATAATGGCATTTGTCCACAGTATTGAGCTTGTTTATTTGTATTCTAACATTATTAAATGTAGTAATAGGTGATTTCCTTTTTTTTATATATGTGAAAGTATCTTTCATTAAACATTAAAAAGCCCCAAAAATAAACAGTATGTCAGCAATAGGCCAGGAACTGTACTTTGATTGTGGAAAATTACATTTAAAAATATCTTATTAAGTTATTTTCTGTTCATTTATGGTATTGTTTTTTTTTGTGGTGTGCTGGCTGCTGGAAAATGACAGTGTTTTTCTGGGAGTGGGTTTTATTTTATTTATTTATTTATTTATTTTACAGCGTAGACTTCTGACAAACCACAGCAAAAGTCTTTATTTATTAGAAAAGTAAGATTATAAGACCCTTCATGCTGAAAGGATGTGGGGTTTATAAAGATTATGTGAATATGCACTGTATCCCGCTTCAGTAAAGTAGGACAAGGACAAGTGTGTTTGTGGATTCAGGCCTGTCCTTGACTTCACAACAACCAAACACACATTATTACCTGTCAGCTGCACTGATTATGCTCTGAACACATTTGGGAAATATGTGCTGACATGAAACATGCTGCTCCTCAGACATACAGCAACAATTTGATTTATGAAGACCTCATCAGAGATTGATACAAACCCTGTGCCCTTATCTCAAGTAATCAAGAAGCATTTTTGCAATTTGTACCTGAAAACCATTTCAGTCTATTTTTGTGTCTCTCTCCATCTGTTCAGTGGCAGGCCATCTCTCTGACTGTGATTGAGAAGGTGCAGATTGCAGCCATTATCCTGGGCTCTCTGTTCCTCATCGCGAGTATTTCCTGGTTGGTGTGGTCGTCTCTCAGCCCCTCAGCCAAATGGCAGCGGCAGGACCTTCTCTTCCAGATATGCTACGGCATGTACGGCTTCATGGACATAGTTTGTATAGGTAAGACGCAGATGTTACGGCTGTTACAGTCATTTTGCAGGTGGTTTGAACATATCAACATATGTCAGTGTCAGCTTCGGCTGTGACTTTTCATTTCACAGATCTGTAATTTTCTGATCATTTACTACAAGTTTAAAGTATGTAAAATATAATATTATATGATATATCTTATAGGGGATTTATTAGTACACATGCAGTTGATTAATGCACATTTATTGCTAATTTTTACACCCTTCTAAAGAAGAACTTGCCACAGTTCTTGTGTGTGTATTTAGCCTGTTTCAGTGACTGCATGATGCTGAGATCAGCTCTCTGTGGCAATCCCTGTTCTTCTTATGGCTGAAGATGTTTTGTTATGACCCTGGTTGCATGTTTTCGGTTGTTGTCGTGCTGCAGAATGAGTTTGGGACCCATCGGATCCTCTGTGGTGGTTCTGTGTGATGGATTAAAATCTAAGATCTAAAATGCCCAAAACTTCTGCACAGTTCTGTGTGTGAAGAATCATTTAATTAAGATAATAAGTTAATAAAATTAGGTTGGTTTAAGGTTTTTGGCAGTAGAAATATACTCACTATAATTAAAAGTAAATTGCGGAGCTTGTTTCAAGAAGCTTTGAAGGAAACGATTAAAAAATTCCAGACCTGCAAAATAAAGCATTGCAATTTGGTTTTCAACAAACACACCCTTAACCACCATTACTTTTTAAACTAATTAATCTTACTTGCTGTCATTTAATGCAATCTTCTAGTTTTACATTGTTAACTCATTTCCGAAGACCATGCCTTTTAAATATTGAGATAGTTTCTATTTACATCTTTCAATACAGCAGCTTGTCTTGGAAAATGCATTGAAGTGCATATTTGTGTAGTCTATTGCTCAGACATGAATGAATTTGTGAGGCATGTTTGTTGCCTACTGTCTTGGCCTGTTTTTCGCTTTGTGAAGGGATTTTCATCAACGCGTATTTCTCAGTAAAACTTAATTCCAAAACAGCCACGAACAGGCCTGGTACATTTAATCATTTTATTTTTGAGAACATATAGTTCGTATTAACTCTGCACCTTCTGTACCTTTCAGTTCTCTCTGATTCTTGTGGAACAAACAACTGTTTGTCTATATGTAACCCTGTTTCCTGCCTCCACCTCCCCAATCCCATGTCCTGTACACCCAGGCCTTATAATCCACGAAGGATCATCTGTTTACCGGATCTTTAAGCGCTGGCAGGCGGTCAACCAACAGTGGAAAGTGCTGAATTATGAGAAAGCGAAGGACCTAGGTGACCCCATCAGTTCCAGCAGCAAAGGCGTTGGTCGTGTTGAGAGGAACTCTTCTCACACTATCACAGACGGCGGCCGGAGAGCGAGTCGGCACGTCAGGACTATTCTCCACCACCACTGTGGCTATACTATTTTGCACATCCTCAGCCAACTGAGAGCCAACAACCTGCACAGCAACAACCATGAGGTGGTCATGAGAGTGACCACTGTATGAGGCTAACTGAAGCAGACAAAAGTGCTGCAATGTTTGAAGAAGAGATAAAAGTTGACTGGGGTTTAGTACAAAAAGAATTGTAATCTGCCATATAAACACTGCCGTGAACTTGTAATCTTGTATTTTGCTCTCAGATTCTCCCTGAGCTAAGGACAACGAGAATTACAGATTTCTAAGATTTGGGAAAAAGAAAACGTCACAGTTTTATCTATAAAGACAAAGACTGTGAAATAAGAAAAAAAAAAAGAAAATTTGGAAAAGAAAAAGTTTTGATTCTTAAAGCTATTAGCTTTTTTCTTTTTTTTTCTTTTATTATTTTTACCACTGTGACCAATGTTTCAAACTGTAACTGAACTAAACTTTGTTTTACTTTCTAAAGAAAAAAAAAAGTTCGTGTTGTTTAATTTGGATTTGACTCTATAAGAGATGGTTTGATGGTGAAAATGATTGTGCTCCTGTGTGACCACCATAACAACGGTCCCCCTGATTTTTTTCCCCACGTATTCCTGAGGGTTCGCCATGATCTGGTTCATCTGAGCTGTTTTCACTTGAAGCAGCGCTGATGAATCAGACATTAAAAAGCCCAATAAAACTTTGAGATGTGACACAATTGCTTAAAATATATAGAATTCATGTTTTGTAATAAAGATTTGGTTGAACTGAGGGGAAAACTTTGTGTTTTGTTTTGTCTCATTTTAGGCAACAAGATGAACAGAACATCAAAATTAATGCAAAACTCTTTGCAGATATTTGTATTTTGGGTTGTACAAGTGCATGATGTAAGTAAAAGAAATGAATGCATAAATGCATCTTGAAAATATCAGTGGAAAAATGTACATCTTTATATCACCTGCCCCAACAAATGCCCCCACGCTGTTACTTATTTGTGTAAAATTGGACTAGACTTCATAATTAGTAGCTAAATGAAAAGGATTCTTGTTCCACCACATCTTGATCTTGGATCATGTTCCTTTCTGTTGATACAAGTCGAGAGGATGTTAGCTTTGACTTGACACCAGTTGCAGGTCTTTGTTGCTACCATTATACCAAAATTATCCCAATCATACATTTCAAAACCTGTGTGGTTTTTTTGCCGTCGTTAGTTTGCCTGGTGATGTTTCCCTGAACAAATGATCTGCCTTGTCGACCATGAGCATTCTGGGTGTAAAAAACCAAAGACTTTAAAAAATAAAAATAACGCCAAAAGAGAGTATAAGAAATACATTTCAAAAATACATTAATATTGCTTTTAGCCTATGTTGATCTGTAATGTATAGCTAAACCTGTAGCTCAAAAATCCATGAATCTAATATTGAGGAAACAGAAGATACGACTCAATTTATGGCAGGCTATCTCCTGTATACCTGCTGACAAAAAACAAGTATCTCATAACAATAAAATAGTCACATTTTCCCTTTAGCGCTCCAACAGTTAGGGCTAAAATGAAAAATTATTTTTATTGTCGATTAATGCTGATTAGTTGTAGTAGTCTATTTGTCAATTGGTTGATCAGTGCTTATATCAGTGATATTTCATGTCCTGTCATAGGGAAGGGTAAGAATAAAAAAATATATTTTTTTAAAAATGAAGATGCTGGAATCAGAGAATTTGGACTTTTTTCTTTAAGAATTATGTAAACCATTTAATGAATTATCAAAGTTGTCAGAAGATTTAATAGCTGACAACTAATTGATTCACCAATTATTGCATACCTGCCAACAGTACTATACAACATCGAGACACAACACTGATACTTGAGTATTCACATTTTATACTTCTTCATTTTAAAGACAAATTGTGTTCTTTTTCACACTGATTTGTTGAAATTTATTTTTAGTTTTCATTTTTTTTCGTATGAAACAAAATATGAGCACTTTCTATGTTTCAAACGGTTTCGACAAATCTGGCAACCCGGAGTAGACGCGTAGTGATGACGTAACAACTCAGCGACGCTCAAGTGGTAGTAAACTAGAGAGGAACGTGACTGTGAAAGTTGCTGTTCAGAAGTGGATAACTGTGTTTATTTAATATTTATCCGATAGAGTGAATATCGTTTTTATTCATTTCAGTCCAACATGAGTTCGTCAATGCCGCAGAAGCGCTACTACAGGCAGCGAGCCCATTCAAACCCGATGGCACACCACACGTTTGATTAGTGAGTGATGTCCATGTGCCTGACTTTAATACGCCACACAATGACTTCTGTACTCTGTCAGCAATATCTGGAGTTTTACCTGTGCGTTTATAAATGTATAAGTTTACAAGAAAACAAGTTACAGCCGGAAAACCGAGAAGGTCACTTACTCCTGCTGGTAAAGCTAAAAGTTTTAATTTCACTAACCTGCGATTTGAGATAGTTCTTTGAGCTCCTTCCTCATCCTAATACAGCGAATAAGTTTACAGCAATGGAATGATAATATCTCAAATGTCTACAGTACATTATCTTTGCAGATATCACAGTATTATGCCTACAAACTCTCAGAATACACTGTGCAATTTTCAAAGAGATTCTTCAGTTAAAGGGTGATTTATTACCTCTTATCTTCTCCTTTCTCTTCAGTCCTTTGTGTCCTGAAGAGATGGACTGGTCTACACTGTATCCAGACTACTTTGATGGCAGCAAGTCTGAGAAACCGACCCACAGAGTGGAGTTTGCAGACATCGGCTGTGGATACGGGGGACTTTTAGGTATTTACATCACAGATCTGAGCACCTGTAGCAGGGCTGCATGATTTATTGTTTCAGCATTGTGGTGTGGGCAACAGTCAAATTGTAACTTGTGCAATGTGATGTAAGGCAAATTAATGCCAACACATGCGATTGCAATCCGCTTCTTATTTTCTGTGGCTAATTTACTTGATAAGTCTGTCAGATATGATATAATTTACTCTGATTTAATGGTTCCTGGACTTACAGAATTTATTTACATCCAGGCTTTACATGTGCACACTGAAATGGGCGGAACAGGAGAGAGAACCTTTGGTTGCAAAAAAAGAAACACAATATCAGCAGAATGTTGGGGCTACAGAAAGGATGATGTTTACCAAAAACAGGTGCTTTTGTTGGCAGTGATTTGCAATTGCGCCACTACACGAGGCAACATGACCAGTTTGACCATTTAAATCAGCACCACAAGGCTCTGTGTGACAAGTGCACACCTAACTATTTTGGGGACCTTTGCCAGTGGTGCAACATATTAAAAAGGTTCCAAATGTTTTGCCCAATCAAAAAATTGTTTTATTTAAATAGAATAGAATTTAACATTTTTAATAGATTTTAAATTAGATTTTTCTTTTCTATTCAGATGCCCTCCCCTACAGAGTCACCCAGTCATTTTAAAATTATGTATTATTTCCAAATAGAGTAATTCTCTGTTTGGTGAAAATATCTGTTTTCATATCACAATACATATTGCAGAAAAACAGAGTCAGTTCTTTTGAATGTCGTGCAGCCCAAAGCTACAGTTTTTACAGGCCGTAACTGTGCTCTCATATTTGTGTCTTTACTGTGTCTCCACTCCAGTGGAGTTATCTCCACTTTTCCCAGATAATCTCATCCTTGGTTTGGAGATCCGGGTGAAGGTGTCAGATTATGTTCAGGATCGTATCAAGTCGCTGCGTGCCTCTGAACCAGGCAGCTACCAGAACATCGCCTGCCTTCGCAGTAATGCGATGAAGTATCTCCCCAACTTCTTCTCCAAAGGACAGGTAGGCCTGCATTTTTGTCTTTTACGCTGGTTAATGACACACAAGTCAGAGATGTTTCTTGCACTCACTGATGAGCAAATCACTCTGGGAATGTTGGACAGTGTAAGAATTAGGGGTCGACCGATTTATTTTTCAGGACTAATACTGATTATTAGTAATCAAGTAGACCAATAACCAATATTTACAACTGATATGCGTTTGTAGTTAAAAATAAATAAATAAATAAATAAATCTTGATTTCAAAATTTAGAATTACACAAACATCAACAGAAAACTTTGTTAAAATAGTTTTGTTCATTATGTTATATCCAGTTAAAAGATAACTTTTTAACATTTGTCCGTACGTGTTGATTGGCTGTTATTGGCGACATGTGACCAATCAGATGTGCTGTGGGTGGATGTTGCTCAAGTGATGACTTAAGACAGAGGAGCTGCTGCATCAGAGTCAAAATAGCACATTTTTACATGAATTTATTTTATCAGGAATCAGTTTTAAAAACAACGGGAAAATGGTGAATATTGGATCAGACAATCTGCCAAACCAATCATTGAGTTTGAGTTAAGAAACTAAATAAACATCATCAAGGGTTTTTTTTTTTTGGCTTTTTATCATGTTTTCATTTAAAAAATGTAAAAATATGACTTATTTTAGGTCGTTGTTTCCTAGATCTTAATAAAAAGTATTACAGTAAAAGTCACAAACTGCCACATTTGTTGAGAGCAATCCTAATTCAGTCACAGCAACAGAGAAGTTTTTTGCTTTGAAAGAGAAAAAGATTAAACACATCTGACATTTTTATGAGGTGATGTTTTTACAATTCTTTTTTGCACTAAATAATTGTATGAGTGTTTTTACTCCACACTGAACAGCTCCTCTTTATTTTTATTGCACTGGTCCCCACATACGCTACCTAGAGCTGAACAATTATTGGAAAATACCTCATTGCGATTTTGCTGGCGGACATTGTGATCTGATTTGTGATATTATTCCTCATAATAATGCACCTTAACTTGGCTGTCATCTGTTTGTGCGCTGTTGGTGGCTCAAGTTTGTTTATATTCGTGCTGCAAATTTTTCGATGTAATTGTGCTGAGGACTGTGGGTCAGAGTAGCCAGTAAAACATGCTGCGTGGCATACTTCAAAATCTAACTAGATGTACTGGGACAGACAGTATTTTTGTCGTACTACATTTGACATACTGTGTGTTGGGGCATATTAAATCTTTTCCTGATGTACTGTATAGTGTAGAAGTATGGACTTAGTTTGGATGTAGCTTTGTTTTTCTGTTTTTTTATTTTTCAACTGTTAGCTTTCAAATACCATTTTTATAAATTTTTTGTTGAAGTTAAATACACTGACTGCAGGTTTTGTTTACACTATGCCACACTGATAGTGTTTACCTACAGATTAATAGCAGTGTGCTAACTTAGAACACCTTCTTCATAGCTATCCATTTATACTGTCGAGTTACTAAAAGTTAATTCATAAAGATCAGCACATAGTCTAGATTTGATGTTACAGCTTTAGCTGACAACACTGGAAAAATGACAACTGTTTATCAGTGTTTCCTCTAGGATTTTTTTCAGCAGCGGGGCAAGCTGTCCGGGAGCCGTGGTGGCGTAAACAAATGACATTTGAATGCAGATTTTACTTTTACAACCTATTTATTGAATGGCCAGTTGAAGTTGGCTTTTTAAAGGCTGAATGTAAAAATCAAAAGAATAAAAAATAAAACAATGAATAATAATTTCTTGATGGGGCTGCAGAATCAGTGGCAAAGTTTGGACCCAGGCTCAGAACAATTAATTTTTCTGGGTTTCATATAAAAGAGCTCTAAGGCTCTGTTGGAGGGAAATTCTCTGAGAGGCTCAGCAGCTTACATGCTGCAAGCTGATCCCCCTGAAGCCTGTTTCTCTAGTCAGTCTGCACCTACAAATAGAAACAGTAATGAGATTGTTTCTCTCAATTTTCTACACACCAATCATTTTTAAATTGTTTCTAGTTTGTGTCTGATGATATATTATTATATGTCTGCTGCTGTCCACTACTCCTCCCTGTCTAATGTTATTTGTCTTATACGGTTACATAAAACATTAACATTAGATCATTTACACTCACATCACATCTGATTACAGTGTAACACTATTTTTTACCGAACCATCATCGTTTATGAATCAGTAAAAGGCTAATGATACCTGACTAGCGTCATCTTCATCAGGTGTCTTTCTCTTCTTAGAGAAATACTTGAACAAGCTCATCTGAAGATGCAGTCAGCAGTTCCATCATGGTGCGTAGATGTTAGCTTAATGCTATCAGTTAGTTTACTCACGTTAGCGACACAGAGTTGGCACCGGGCCCAATTAACTTAAGGAGCAGCGATTGGTCAGACAGGTTGAGAGGCAGGCCCTCTCGCCCGCCCACATTTACCGCCTTCTGCTCGCTTCATCTGTATGGGCGCTGCCGACTGTCAATCAAGCCAGCCACGCCCCTTGCCCCGCAAATGTTGATGATTTTTTAAAAATTCAGTATTGATTTATTTTCAGATTGGCCACCTGATCTCTGGACTTGACTATGAAAACTAATTTTTTAAAAATCCTGAGCTGTCGGAATGCGGTAGTTCATGATCTGTGATCACTTCTTTTCCAATTCAAGTCTATGGGAGCCAGGGCTTTTTGGAGCCAGGACTAGCGGACGTAATGATATTGCAGGTTTTTGACACTTCCGGGTTGACTTCATTTTTCGGGACCGGTTGCTACATCCATCTTTTATACAGTCTATGGTGCCCACGAGTAATTAACGTCGCATGAACACCCCAAAGAGTAGAGACTGACCAAGACAGTTATCTGTCGTTTACGTTGGTACTCGCGAGTACTGACCCAGTGCAGGACTCTGCTGTGAAGGTGGAGACATGCGGCGGTGGGGTATTTGTGACAATAACATAAAATAAATAAATAAACTGAAGGAGCTGCGGCTAGGATTTAGGAATGGAGGCCCACCACTCCTAAATGAATGTAGAGGAAACACTGGTTTATGTAAGCGGTGATGGATAGCTTGTCTAAATTGTCTGTGAGATCAGATTTCTTATGCTATTGATTAATTGTCGTTTGATGTAATTTCATGTAGTTCACACTAGTGTTTATATGTTCTTTAGCAAATGTTGGAGTAATAAAGAATGTAAATATACTTCTCTCCGTCTGACTCACGATGCATGCTGGTTCTTGTGCGGATTTTCTCAAGAAGTTTCTCTTTTGAAACTGATTCAGTGCAAAACATGAATCATCAGCACGGACTGAATGACCCCGCATGCACCAGTTATTATCACACAGGATCTCGTCATCCAAACTATTAAACCAAAATCAGTGATCTTGTTTCTGTCAAACAATTTTTAACTACTTTTCTATCGAAGGAATAGTTGAAAACTGTAACAGTGCTAAAGTGTATCTTTTTATTGCTGTGAGCAGCGATTTAATCACCTTCAAGCAGAGAGATTTAACCAGAGCAATCTGTTTGCCCAGATGTCCATTGTGGGCAAGCAGATTTCTTTAAATATACCCTTGGGCACTATTAATCATTCTGCATTAGGATTTGTCACTGGCGATTGTTATAATGCTCATCATTGTGGGCTGTATGCTATAACTGGGTGGACCTCGCTCTGTGTAAGGCGTGATAGACACTGGATTTTATTTATTTATAAGGCTCATACTGGTTTTTCACCCTCTTACATTACCTCATTGCCGTCTTTTAATGTGGACCCTCATGGTACACCCTTAAATGATCAGATCACACTGCAGGTGCTGTCTGTTTTTACTCAGCATGGAAAAAAATGTAGTTTCCTTCACTGTGCACCTGCAGAACCATCTAAAGCTGGACTCATTCCTATCTTTTGGACAATTCAGGTTTCAATTTCATCGTATTTTACTTCCAGCTGTAGTTGATTTATGCATTTTTTAAACTTAAATGCTCTCATCAATGTTTTCTAATTTACTAACTTCGTCATTCCACGTCTTTCCTTTTCTTTTCTTACTCGGCTACATTATAAATGAGACCTCTGTGCTTCAATGTACTCCAAGGTTAAGTATGAATAAAATATGTTACCCATACTGACCTCACTATGAAGGTTATGATGTGAATATGTCCAGTATTGCAATATATCCAAGGTGGCCTGTAATAACCTTAAAATAGAGCTTACAGTCTATCCTGGCACTGCCGAGGCAATGAGAGTGCGCAGGCCAAACGTTTCTGACTAAAGATAATTACTTTGCACATGTTTAACATATGGACTGAATTAATTTATACAGATTGCTCAATAAATCCAGGGATTTCACAACAATGGGGTCATTGACTGACACGCAAGGCATCACATCAGCTGAGCGTGGAGCAGTGCAAGACGCCATTTATCCGTTCCAATTAGCTGCGGTAATCTATGACTTGTTGAAACTCGCTTTAGATTACACAGGGGGCTTAGTGTACCAGGGTTAATTTAGGTACCCTGGATAAAACACTTCACCTCAAATGCCCTGAGCTGGGTATAAACTAAGACATGAATGCAGGAGAGTAATTGCTGTAACAGTGACACATTTATGGAACCCAAACCTTATATGTGTTTCTTTTTTTTAAATTTAAGCATGCTATTTCAGGTAATTTAATAAAAATAATGATTGTTATTTGTACATGCTGAGTTGAGGCTTTGTGCCAAGCTGAGATTTGTGGAGGACATCTGCACGGTTTGGACAGAGAAGTTTTCTCTCTAAGGTGCCCTGAAATCACTCATCAACTGCTTCTCAGAGTAACTAGCAGGGATGAACATTGCAGCTGGGTCTTGCGTTGGTATTAGTTGTCTACTTTGCAGATGATTAGCACAAAAACCACGCAGACTTTCAAAGTGGGAGAATTAAGAGAAGACCACCCAGAGCAGTGCTCAAAGTCTTGCCCCAATCCTTCTCACATGCATGACGTGTTGCAAGTGTTGAAACAGCATATTCTAAAGACCCGAAACGCTTTTTCTTTCTTTTTTTTTTTTCTCCTTCCTAGTATGTTTTGTAACCCAAAAATAAAAAGTGTTGAGGTTTTTCCATCTTCCATCAGCACTCAAGGAGCCCCTGAGGCTGCAGCCGTCCCCAGTGATTATCCCCACATCTCTGTCTATACCTGACGTTATTTATTTTAACTAATAAAAAGTGACTGGAAAGATTTTTAATATATCAGCCAGACTAATATCAATGGAGCCTGCACTTGCACACTTGTCAAAGACAGACATGGGGAACTTTATGGGAAAAAAAAAAAAAATTCAAGGAGGGAAATTCCAGTTTTGCGATCCACAGTGTTTAACAACCTACCACAGAATATTATGAGGACCACATTTACGGAGGGATTTAGAAAGTATTCAGACCCCTTCCCTTTTTGGGAACTTTATAGGGTCTTAGATGTAATTTTCAATGGATAAAATGGACCCTTTTTTGCCTATTAATGTACGCTCGGTGACCAATTATGACAAAGTTAAAACAACATTTAAAATCGGACTGACTGTAATGCATTTTTGTTTCTGTCTTTTAGCTCAGTAAGATGTTCTTCCTCTTCCCTGACCCTCACTTTAAGAAGACCAAGCACAAATGGAGGATCATCAGCCCCACTTTGTTGGCAGAGTACGCCTACACATTGAGAGTCGGGGTATGTATACGAGGACTGCTTGTTCCAGCCAGCGATGAAGCAATTAGCCACTCAACAAAAATAGAGGATTTATTGCCATTGTACGAAATACAACGAAACTTGTGTTGCAACTCACAACAATCAGCAGCAGTGCAACCTGGAATAGAATAAAAGGGGCTGCAAGGTGGCGCAGTTGGTCGCACTGTTGCCTCGCAGCAAGAAGGTTCTCCAGCTTCCTCCCACACAATCCAAAAACATGTTGAGGTTAATTGGTGATTCTAAATTGTCTGTAGGTGTGAATGTGAGTGTGCTTGGTTGTCTGTCTCTAAGTGTGGCCCTGTGATAGACTGGCGACCTGTCCAGGGTGTCCCCTGCTTTCACCCTAAGTCGGCTGGGATAGACTCCAACCCTCCCCGCGACCCTAGTGAGGATTAAGCGGTGTATAGATGATGGATGGATGGATAGAATAAAATAATATACAAGGAAGTGAATTTAAAAAGATGTGAGTTTCACACAAGTTTCGTTGTATTTCGCAGAATGACAATAAAGTGATTGAACAAAGTAAAAAAATTCAACCATTTAATGGTCGCAGCTTCGTTGTGTTCAGAAGTGTCTTTAAAGGTTAAAAGCAGCCAAAATCCAAAAGAAACTCATATATTCTGTGCCTCCATTTCAGGGTAAGGCTGTCATTATTATTTTGTTCTTATTGTCTTTAAATCCTGTAAAAAAATAATCATTAACAAACTTTTCTGAATTCGGTTTTGTTTTCAGAAAATGTCACTCAAAAAGGAGGAAAGTGATACATGTTTGCAGCAGACTCATACACATTTGGTGCTCTAGTGATTAATCACAACTGCAGCACGCTTTATAAAACTGAAGCTTCAGTAAAGTCATTTCAGGTATTTAAGTAAATGTGACTGAGACTTTTGCCTCAACTGCAGCACAGTTCAGGTAAATTAGATTGAATTTCTCGATTTCAAAGCACTTTAATAGGTAAACATGAAACAGCCGTTTCTTCGCCACTTTATCTGCTGATTGCGCTGCGCAGAAGTCCGTGAATTCACTGAAACAAAATTGAGCAACCAGTGTGGCCCGCAGCTGACTGACGTCTGCACACACACCCAGCTCCTGCCTGTCAGAGCTGTCAGAGCAGCAGTGGGACACTTGAACAGGGCGCGAACGCTGATGGAGGTTTCTGAGGAACAATGGAAGGCTTGTGTCTAAATTTGGCTTTATCGTTTTTCCTCCGGTGTGTGTGCATCGATGCATTTGTGCATGTGTGTGTGTGTGTGTGTAGACTTTACATGGGCCCTCAGCACTGACATACAAACCATAACAGTGCTGGTGGGTTGGGAAGCTGTCAAGAATATGCTCATTCATAGTGGCAGCTCCACAGCATGATTAACCAGAGTCTATGAGTCTAATTTAAATTGTTTTCAGACCAACACCTGCAACAGTAAACAGCGGGTGATTAATGTGAATTTTGTGCCGATAACACACCTGCCTTCTCTGGGAAAGAAAAAAAAAAAGAAACCCATACGTGCCGTCACGCACTGGTGTGGAAATCTGTGCCACCGCTGAGTTTTCTAAGAAATCCCTGTTCTAGTAATTTTATCTGTCCAGTCTCCAAAGTAAACGACATTGACACAGGTGATTCACCTCTGTGTTGTCTGTTGGTTATTTTTATCTGTATAGATAAATGGCTCTCTGGAGGTGATGAAACAGCTTAAACTGCGCGTCTGAAATGTGTTAAAAAGACATAACTGAGAAAAGGAAGAAAAGTTTGCAATTCAGCCTTCGATGCCTTGCACTGAGTTTGATTTGAGAAATAGATTCATGTTTGGCCGCCACTGAAGGTTCGTTAGTGTACGTTTCCCAGAACTGTGTTAATAACCTGCATGTGTTTGTCTGCTCATGTCAGGGCTTGGTGTATACCATCACAGATGTGGAGGAAGTCCACCTCTGGATGGTGAAGCACTTCACCGAACATCCACTGTTTGCACGTGTTCCAGACGAGGAGCTGGTATGTTGACGTGGAGCTTTTCATCACCGTGTTTACAGGTCATGGCAGCAGCATTCGTTGCTCATCTGCTCATTGATGGGAAAGAGGTCAAAATAAGGATATGACAGTTTTCTGTTCTAGACTTTTTTTAATTTTCTTAGTTAGAGGAGATAGTTTCTCTGACTGAACAGACTGATTGATTGATTGACTGATTGATTGATTGACCTCCGATGGAAACCTTTGCAGACATGTTGCCTGCATTCTGCTGACTCCTTTGTATCTGTTTTTTTTTTTTTTTGCCAATTAGCAGATATCATATCAGAAATTCTCAATTCTCATTGACATGACAGTCATGGTATTTGGGTTAGGGACAACATGACGTAGACCTAGCATTCACTTCAGGACTGTGAGAAGGTGGACACACATAGTCTGGGTCGCTCAAAGACATGGACTTTTGTTTTTGCGTTTTTGTTTGTGTTCAGATTAAGCCAATAATCTATTGATGACCAAGAATTAGGTGTTTCCTCCTACATTTGGTCTGTAACTGCTTAACAAATCACCTCCTACTGTACCTTTAACTACATACTTTCATACAGACATTAAAGTGGTATTAATGTATGTCAGTCAATGTTCTGCTCCTTTAAAACTTTATAACTTTTACAGTTTTGACAGAAGAGCAGTGGCTCAACTCACCTCCAGGTTTTAGTTAGTGGAAAGGCAAAGATCAGTCATATTTATCTTTAGTTTCTTGTTTTGTTTTAATCTTTAAATGTTGAATTTGGTGGCATTAAGCAGTAGGGTTGCAGATTGCAACTACCTGAATAACCTTTGTGTCACCCTCCTCGTCCAAGCATTAGAACCTAAGCTGAGCACTAAAAACATGAAGGAGCAAGTGTTTGGTTTGTTCAAATTGTGCTGCTTTAGAAACATTGAGGTAAAAACTGCCGACCCGCTCCTTTTGTAGACATAAAGGACTCATTCTAGGGTCACTAAACAACAAAATGATTCTTATTTTCTGGTGATCAGACACTACAGAAAGCAGTTCTGAATATTATGCTTCATTTCAGATAATAGATTCCTCTAAATTCTACACTGTGGTTCTTCAGCTACAATAATAAACACTGTGCTGATGATGGTTTTAAGCGAATGAACAGCGAGAATAAACTCTGTCATAAATCACAATTTAGGTCCACCGCATCCCTAATGTGATTCAATCCTCTTTTGGCAGGTGGACGATGTCATTGTAGGTCGTTTGGGTACGTGTACGGAGGAAGGAAAGAAAGTTCAGAGAAATGGAGGGAAGAACTTCCTTGCAGTTTTCCGGAGGATTGAGGACTCACATTGAGATCGCCACGTATGCACGGAGGATAAAGCTGCTCTGGATTCTGTGGGTTGTTGTCCCAGCAGATGAACAGTGATGGGTTTTATTTCTTGTGTTGATGGACAAACTTTTACATCATTACCAGATAAAGGGTTTTGTTTTGTTTTTTTAGCTTCTTCTTGTAATATATATATTTCATTCCTCACCTCACAAGAAAGAATCCAAGAGGAGAAAACCCTTAAAGGATTTTGGATTGAGTTGTGTATTGCGAAGCTTTCATTTAATTACTGCCTCTTTTTTTTAATGATGTTCCTCGGTTTCTTTTGCTAAGCTGTAAAATGCTGTTTTGGATTTCTTGTAAAGCTGTATAGATCTTAAAGTAAAACAACTACTAAAAGAAAAAACTGAACAGCTATATGTTGTATTCACAAATCTCACAGTAACGGGTTGAAGAGTTAGCAGGATGACTGCACTGAGGAAAACCCAGAGCAGCACTTTTTAACTGCAGGCCATGAGCTCATGTTTGAAGAGGAGTTTAGGTGTTAACGAGTAAACGGCGCAGCTATTTTTAATAATCTTCTCTCATGAGATAGGACTTCAAGTGTTTTGTTTTAATTTAAAAACCATTTTCTATGTAATGACATAACTTTGTTGGCGCCTCCGTGGTGTTAGTACGCAATGTTGGCAGCGCAGTCAGAAATGGATTAGACCCAGTTTGCCAACAATCTGCATCTTGCTCGTTTGCTTTGGGTCATTGTCTGGTTTAAAAATAAAAGAGCTGCAACATGTTGGGTTATAATTAAATGCAGAGTTTTTGATCTAAGAAGAACCTGTTTCGTCAAGAAAATATAAAAGTTGCCTAATTATGGTATTTTAATTATAGTATTTTAGATTACTTAATAGTTCTCATGTATGTAATTAAATGTAATTATTTAAAGCCACCAGTGACCACAATTGGCCTTGCCTCTACATGTCATGTGATATCCAAAAAAAGATAATTTATGTTTTCTGCTAGATATCTGCGGGAAGAATCTTTGTGAAGTTCAAATCAAAGTCTGTAACAAAAACGGTAGCTTTCTGTGTTCATTTTATGATTTTAGCTGCATATTATAGGCTGGTATTTTAGTCTGTCAGGGGTTTGGAAACGGGACAGTGCAGGTTTGAAGTCCTGCTGCTGCTGCAGGCTGTGGTGAACAGGACAGCACATGCCTTAATGACTGAAAACCAGACACTGGAAAACTTAAGATGAGCACAAAATAATTGAAGCACTCAAACTAAAAGTCATAATAATAATTAGAAATTGCTGCACTTTTGTGTCCTTTTCTCACCATATTTGGAAATACTCAAGGTTTTCTTTGTTACACAGTTCACCTCCCAGTGGTTTTAAAGTCTTGGGTGATGACAGGGCAGGTAAAATACACACCCAGACATACACCAGCATTTAATCAGATCCTTCAAACTGAACATCTGAAGCTTTGATTTATCATCTGTGTCCATGAAGCACATATTCACTGATCTATGTGCAATAATGTATTCTCACATACCTTGAATTTCTGTTTTTAAATATCTGAAGAAATTCTCTTGGCCTTGAGTGGAGAAACTAATTGCTCAGCCGATGTTCACTCCATCTACTGAGGACGACCGTGAGATGTGATTGAAGACTTTGTTAACTTCAGGTTAATGGACCTTGAGCATTTTTGGACGAAGCCTTGATGAAGCTTCGAGCTCAAATCATCTCCACGAGTCAACATATGCTTCACTAAATACTGGAAGTATTCATGGGATTTTTTTAATGGTGTGAACGTTAATCAGTCCATCAAATCTGGGATGTTGTTGAGGAGCTGCTCTTCTGTTGTCACTTATTATTACCATGTGGCAACAAAGCTGATCGCGCCAGCCAGAGTACATCATGCGGCATTTTAGTACCATCAGGTCATCAAACAAGAGTTTATTTAAATGCTCTGCAGGGGAATCAAAGAAAAGAGAACCTTAATTATTAGCATTTGGCAGCACTAGTGAAGCGATGTGGATGTTGCCTTTACTTCATACGCAAAGAATTTCTTACATCTGGACGTCAGGATGTTATTGAGGTCGGAGGTTAATCCCCCTCTGAACGTGTTTACAGAGGCAGCTGCCCACAGTTGTTGTCTATACATAATCAAATACCCCTGTTATACCATTTACTCTTTACGTTACAACACGTAAGCGTGTGTCGAAACTTGAGCCACTGATTACATCACGTCTTTCTCAGCTGCTGTTGTTTTCTGTCCTGAAAACCAAATGCAAATGATTTCGCTTAAAGCTACTCTCAAACCTGTCACTACATATCGATATGGTTGGACTCTTTGAGATACAGGGTTTTTTTAGTTTGTTTTTTTTTGCACTCTGTGAAGAATGGTCCACATTTACAAAGGGTTTTTTAAATGAGGCTTTTCCTCCTTCAATCTACAAATGAAAATGAAAACACAAAAATACTATGTAAGTGCTGTCTCCAACCAAAATGTAGTGATATAACACTAATCCTGAAACCATGTTGTGCTCCTCAGAGGCCTGAAAAAGAAACGATTACTGGTTCCAGTAAGCTACAGTGGTGCTCTGGGTACGGGGCATTCATGGACCGACAGTGAAGTGGAGTTATTCCTCAGTATAATTTATATGTAATCGTGTAAAAAGTTCTCTTGGCAAGATTAGCACCATAGCGCTATTTTGTCCACATCCAGCGATGTGCAAATAGGCCAAAAACTGAGCTTTCCTTTACTCATGAACACTGCAAATTAAGTTTCTGAATATCTTCACCCTCCAAAAAGCTCTTTTTTCTGTGTCCTAAAAGTGTATTTGCATGTTGACGAAAACCTGAAATGTCTATACCAAGTTGCCTCAGATGAGACCACACTCAGGTTTGTATGTTAACTATGAAACTACCTCCAGCAGCTAGTTAGCATAGCTTAGCACAAAGATTGAAACAGCGAGCATGACTTTGTCCAGAGACAACATATTCCACCCATCGGCAGCCTGCAGTTTTACAGGGGCCACGCTAATTCTTAGCTAAGAAATAGTCTGAAACATGAACCCACCTGAAAAACCACAACTTGTAATTTCTCCACATTGTGTTTTTGTACGGCTAAAACAAAAAGATCAAACATGTCAATCCATAAATGTTGAGGTTCTGGCTTGCAGATTTATGACAAAGCCAGGTACGAAACGTTCTCTCAAGCTTAACTGAGCCTTCTGTACCATGCTGATATGAGAGAGATTCAATGTTCTCGTGTAATTCTGCAAGAAAGTGAATAGATCTACTTTTCATCATGGTCAGCATAACATTATGCCCCATTAATCTAAACTGTCTCATCCCTGGATGTGTACGCTCATTGTTTGCATCCTAAATGTACGACTGAACTCAGCATTTTTGATGTCTCCGTTTTCATTGAAGTTCCTGCTGCTCTTCTTTCTAAATTCATAATGATGTAGCACAACATTTCCTACTTTTTCTGCCAAGTCACTGACTTTGTCTCTTTCCCTTCCTAACACTCAGGTCAGGACATGTGTTTTTGCTGCCTGACATCTCCAGCTGGATGTCTGCCCTGCCACCTCAAGCTCAGCCTAAACCGAACTAAGCTGCTGTGCTTTCACAGCAAATCCAGACTCGCTCCTTCCCACAACACTAACAATTCTGGTGGGAATTTACACCGCCACATCAGAGCGGCTCATCCTGCAGGCTCGCATTCAGCGTCAGATCCTTCCTCATTTGGGATTCTCAGGTCTCAGCTAATGAGGAACCTCCACTGACCCGTGTTTCCAATTTAATCTTTTTCAGGGCCTTCAACTCTAACAAAGAAAAGCGGCTCACTTTGTATTCAACTTCCTTTGCTCACCTCAAACTGCACTGTGCCCTGTGACTATTTATATCCATGGAAAGAAAAATGTCCCTTTGTGGTTGAGCCTGTTCTCCTGTCCTGCCCTCCCTCAGACTGAAATTACTTTTCTAGTCCATTTTGTATTTTGTTGCAAATTTATCTCTCTGTAAAAATAGGGGAGAAAAACTGCAATAAAATAGTTTTTCCCTTGTGTTCACTGTGCACTCCACAGCAGCAACAGCCAGCCATCCATCCATGCATCCCATTCTCATACACGTGATACTGCAAGTATACCTGGAGGTAATTTCTTCAGGAATGAACTGATCAGATGTTGGCAGTCAAAGGTTAGAGGTCACTGTGACCTGAAGTCAATTCCCTTCTCATGCACATGGTAAATCTGGAATGCCTGGAGGGAATTGTATTACTTACATCTTACATATGAATGTTTTCTATCAAACTGGAAAAAGGCATCGCTTCTATTTCAGCAACGCTTCGCTTATGAGTTATTGATCCAGGATCTTTGAATCTGTAGACGTATACACCTCATGCTTTGGGGGTGTGAATTAATCAAGATGTGGGAACAAAGTGTATCCCATGTCCATGTATATATATTTTCTCTGTCTGTTATTACTCCGGGCCTTCGTACACTTGGACTCAAGGAAGAACTGATTTAAATTTGGTGATCAAAGGTCACTCTGACCTCACGAAGCATTTGTCTTGCAATAATTAATTTGCTAATTATGACAAAAAGGCAGACAAAATGTCTAATTCTGGACAGATGTTGATGTGACTGCAACTGGACTGATGGCAGATGAATACAACCACGAGGAGGTAACTCTAGTTATGTCTGGCCCTTACATTCAGTGTTAGTGCAGCGATGGTGATCATGTTGCGTAATTTATTCCATAAATGTTCACTGTGCACTTGAAATAATGTGTTTAAAAATGTGACTATCTAATGCAGACATATGATTAATGGAAGGTTTACAAATGAATGACACGCAGAATAAATAACTACCTTTACACTCCTCAGCAGGCCAAAACTACATTTTTACTTTAAATTAAATCAAACTGCCTTGTTAAAAATAATAGAAAATATGTTGTTTTTTTTTTTTTGTTCTCTCATTTAAAATGTTTAACTGCTCCATACAAGATGTCTTCGACTTCACTGGAAAGTCCAGTGTAAACATCCTGGAGGTTTCTACATCACACTTGTGTTAGTTGCATATAATTAAAATTCTAACAACAATAATAAACTAGTATTTATATTGCACTTTTTCCAACAAAATTAAAAAGTGCTGAAAAGAGAAAAAAGAGAAGAGATTTAGAAAACATCAATTAAAAACTAAAGAAAAACAAAGCAGAGCGGAACAGAACAGGACAACAAATGTAACCTGTCAAATGTTGGATAATAAATCAGCAACATGTCAAACATTCATAAAATTTGTTGGACCATGACTGGCTTTTGAAGTGGCTGTGATGCCACAAAGCGTGCCCATACATAAATGTCTTAAAGTGAGGTTTAATCTGAGTACACAGGAACTTTGAAAACTGCCTCTTGGCGTCACATACACACATCATTCTGGCCGGTGAAGCTCAAACAACAGATCTAACAATAGGCCGAGTACATTTCTGAGTGGAGGGGGGACTTTAACAAACAACCCTTTTTTTTGTTGTAAGATCATATTAAGTTTTATGATAAAAGTGCAAAGACACAGATGGCAGGCACTCAGCTATTACTGAAAGGAGACTTTTAAGGACAAGAGTATGTGGAACACTGATATAAAAAATCAAAGATGAGAACAGCCCAACCCGCTCAGTAAAATATTTCAAACATTACATACACAGTATAAATAACTGTCAATATGGTTGTACCAAACAATGCAGTTCATAGCTCGTCCATTATTTTCCAGCCACCATATGTAAGTGATAAATAGTTGGAAATG